TGTGTCAAATCGGTAATAACTCAGCGGCCGGACTATAGTGATGTTCTTACGGTTAGGCAACTATATATCTTACAGTCAATTTTAAAAACACATACTAACTCGCCATATGATCCAAAAAAAAAAACATCTACACTGGGAATCATAACGTCATTAAACAAATTTATGTAAAATCTAAATTTGCTGAGAGACAGTACTGTGCCCAATCAAGATATATGTATAATTACTTAAATAAAAAATTAAACTTTCACTGGCTTAATTATCGCGAATGTAAAAAAATACTTACCGATAATCTTAAAAAATTATCTTATCACACCACAGAAAACATTCTACATCACGGAATTAAATAATATATTTGTTTATCAGAATAGAATAGAATTAAATAAAATTACATTAAATAATAATAATAAAAATGCTTACACTTTTAAGCACCTACAATCACACGTACACACATACACTCACACGCGCACACTCACACACAAACACACACCTACTCTAAATCATAGGTAATCTTGCTCGGCTTATCTCAATATTTAATATTATTAGGAAGAGCGGTGCCTCCTGACACAGGTATTCTTTTATACTTACTAGGAGGCTCCAATTACTTTATTATTGCCTTGAGAAAGAAATAAATGGATTTTTAATTTTTAATTTTTTTTAATAGTGTATGTATGCATTTATATATATATATATATATATATATATATATATATATATATATTGTGTGTATTTAAGTATATATGTCTATGTATGTGTGTGTATATGTATATTTATATGTATATACAATATATTTTTTAGCGCTTTCTATTTTGATAACTGCTGCACCGCCTCTTGTTTGTATATCTCTGTTTAGCCTAATGGTTGACTGACTACATACAACATGAATTTTTGTCTCTATACCATTTGTACAAGCAGAATTCTCTAATCTACCGGCTACCTCGTTACCCAATAGAACAATGTTTGCTGGAATCAGTTGCAATCTTGCTCAGATGTCGTGTAGACTGAACTGATATATTTGGAAAACTATGGTATTAGGTTATAGGCTATCGAAACACCTCTGATTCCAGAGGCAGATCGAGCCAAATGCTGGATAGCAGTTTTGCTGTCCGAGTATATAATAATTTTGTTCCAGTTATAGCTTGCAGCATACCTTAGGGCTTCGGATATTGCAATGAGTTCAAGGGTCATAATACAAACGTCATTAGTAACTTTATAAGATCTAGAAACTGCTCCAGATGGGTCGAAAAAAACTGCTCCTTGAAATTTAGCACTCTTTGATCAGTCTGTGTAGATTTTATGCCAATCGTGATATTTATTTTCAGGTTCTACAATAACATTCACTCTAAGTTTTTTTACAGAAGTTATTGGATCGTTTAACATACTCTAATTTATTTAATACCATATTTATAATATAAATACGGCACAATCAAGTGCTAAGCGAAAATGATTCGACAAAAGGAGATGATTGTATATTCATAATTTAAGTCTTATTATAAGATTTAACTAATAGTGGGATTTTCTTGCGTCGCCAATATCCTGTTTCACAGAGAGTGCTAAGGTGTTTAAAAAAATCAATTGTAAAATTGTTCGAAAAAGATTTGGCTTCTAAAACTTCTAATTTATAAAGGAGGTACGCTAAGTTCGCTTTCCATTATATGCATTGGAGGACTTTTGATAAAACCGCCAATAATCCTTAACGCTTTATTTTGTATTTTATCTAATTTTGATAAGTGAACATTATCGCAATCATCAAATAAAAAACAACCGTAATCGATTCTGCTTCTTATTAACGAAATATACAGCTGATGAATATGTTTGGGATGAACTCCCAACCATGACCCAGACAACATCATTATTAGATTTAAAACTTATTACGTTTTTTTGTTATCTCATTAATGTGTTTGCTCCAGAGTAGGTTACTATCTAGCCACAACCCCAAGTATTTGAAGCATTTTAAGGAAGTCAATGAGCGTTTGTTAACTGTTACCGTGGGCTGAACTCGATTACGTTCTCGACTTTCTCGACTAATGACTAAACCGGCATAACATTGTTTTCTCAGTTGACAGCTGTAAATCTAGATCATTTAATATTTCTACTATATAATATAACGTATTTTTGATCTATGACACAAAGATTTTTAAATCTTTGTCTTTTATATAAATAACAAAATCATCAGTGTACTGAATAATGTTTACTTTGTGTAATGGTTGTATAATGATTGTAAACGGCGCATGCTATAAGTCGCTATATTGAATAGGAATATTGGGTATCTTTGTGCTAACTTTTAGTTGTGCTTCTTTAAAGTAATTTATTTTTAACTTGAGATTTTATCCGTAATTATCTTTCGCTGAGAAATGACCGTAAATATGTACATAACTTACTACCAACTTGCAATTCATCTAATATTTTCAAGACACTATTTATGTCAACATTATTATTAGCATTTTCAATATCTAAATAGCAAGCTAAAGTGGACATATTTTGTGTAAAACCAATGTGTAGATATGTTACCAAACGAGACTGACAGTTCACGCAAGATAGCGATTTCCTAAATCCAACTATCGATGGCGAAAATATGTTTTTTTTTTCAACGAACCATTCTAGTCGCTTTAGCACCATAATGTGAATAGTTTTACAAAGACATGACGTTAAGTAAATTGGTCTCCGTTTACCATCAGAATTAAATGGGCCATAATTTTTGGTATAGGTATAACAAGCACATTACGCCATTGACTTGGTATATTTCCAGACCTGAACACAAGGTTATAAAGAATTAAAAGAATTTCTTTTGCGATATTGGGAAGATTATAGATCATACTATATGTAATTTCATCATCTCCAGGAGCAGTATCTTTTCTACCGACTTCAAAAATGAGGAGGTACCCCATTCGACTGTATGTTCTTTTTTTATTTGTTACCTCATAACTTTTTTCTACGTAAACCGATTTCAATGGTTCTTTTTTTATTTGAAAGCTGATTCTTCTCATGTGGTTCCATATAAATTTAATCAAGGCCTGACCAATAGTTTTTGGGTTACCTTCTACACCTTCCAATTGAAGTTAATAGCAATATTATTTGATACAAAATAAATATCTGGGAAAGTTTCTAGTTAAAGCCTATTGACAAGTTTAACTCTTGTTGGCATCCGTAACCATGTTCTATCGATGAGTCTACTAATTTTACCCCTCTTGCATCGGTTTTGTACGACCAACTGCTGTGATGTCCATTAAAATCACGATTTCTGATACTTTGAGTTCTAACTGAAGACGGACAATAGACTGATAAAATGTTTTGTAAGAACTCACATTTGTCAATTTTAAAACACACGGTTTATATGCCTAGTTAGATAATCGAATTGTACTTATTGCGTTTCGAAGTGATTTGTGTGTAACGATTGCAACTCTACCACAAGATCCATATATGTCCCTTCTATACTATGACCTTTAATATTAATAATATCATTATACACATATAATACACCTTTTTATCAGAGGCTCCCCAAGACCTATAAATTTTGGTTTGAGGCTTTGTGTATTCCATTATAATATATTAATAGCGATGTTTTTGTTATTTGTACTATCCATGTTTCTTATAATTTAAAACTGTTTCATAAATTTTACGTTCTGATATTAAACTACTCACAAATGTTTTAATTACTTTAAAAATAGCCACGAAAACTGCAACAACTTTATGCTCAAAACATTTTTTGAGTACCAAATAGAATTTTTAATAAGAGTTTCCTAAAATCAAATGTCTTTTGTCTCATTTCTTCTTCACCGGAATTACTTTTTTGGCTTTCTTCTTCCGCTTCCTTAAACTTCAAATCATTTTCTATTATTTTCTATCACATTTTTTTCTTTTCTTTGTCTTTGCTTTTTCTTTTCTTTTCTTTCCTTTTTATGTGTTTCTATAGGTATTTTTCCTTCCTCTAAGGTTGATTCTTGATTATTTTCATTATGAACTTGAGCGTGAGTAAAAACCTGATTATAACTTCGAGATCCACGGTTTGCCCATAATTGTGTAGGCTGTTCTGTTATGTCTTGATTGACAAAAGTATCTTTAGAGTATATATTTAAGTTTTTGGTCATGTGAACCCAAATTTCGCATGTTCCATTTCAGAGACACGAGTTATTTTTCGATCTTCAATTTGGTTAATTTCTAATTCTCATTCACGTGACTTCCGAATCATTTCCGTCTATCAATTTATCTTTATCCATGTTTAAACATTAAAAGTAAATTGAAAAACGTCTTTGTATTATGATTTTTTTATAGAATAAGGGTGACAAATGAGCACATATAGCAATGGCCCATAGACATCTACATCTATCTTTGTTTGCGAATTAAATTGCACATGCGTTGTCAGCCGTGAGGACTAAGATGGAATGCCTATTTTCCAGTAAAAAGGGTCTCCGGTTCTCTATACTCACCATTCGAAACACAGCAGCGTTAAGCTGTTATTTTACGCTGGTATTCTGTGAGAGCAAGGTCCTTCTCCGGTCGAGCCGACCCATTCTTGCTACAACTATATTATAAATATAGCTGCGCTTGGCTCTACCACGTAAAATATCAATCAATAAACTTTATGTTGACTGAATCTCTTTTAATTGTTGCACACGCCGTATATTTCTGAAACATCTCATAGTGATTTTTACCGTTTTATCAATTTGAAAGGACTTTGAAAAGGACTTGCGTGGTACGAAATTAGGTAGAGATGATAAAGTCATGTGTGCTTTAAAGGCCTTTTTCGATACCCATAATCAAGACTTTTTCAAGGGTAAGCAACTTTCAAACATTATTATAGATATTAGGTTAAAAAGTGACTGCATTTAAAAATAATTAAAAAATAGCAATATTTTACTAGAAGTTTTATTGCGTTTCCTAAAACTTATTTATGAAAACCTAGTATAAACCTAAAGGTAAAAATATATGATTGTTTGTTGTGTTTGATATAATATTATAGCTTCCCTTTATTTTATATTATTTGATCACATTAATAATTTAATTTAATCTATACACAATGTTTTGAAGGACCCATTCATTGAATTCAATTCATTTGTCTTCGTTTTTTTCTTTAAATCTGCTTTCCACATGTTGTCGTTTAGGAACATGTCTCTGGAATAAAAGTGAAAACTACATAAACAACTAACAAGGTCTAGTTTCTTTGAATTTTATTACACACAATACAATATTACCTTATCGCTACATTTTTTTTTATAGGATAAGGGTGACGAACGAGCACACAGTCCACCTGATGGTAAGTGGTTGCTGTGGCCCATAGACATCTACATCTATCTTCATCAGCGTATATCAGATATCAGAGGTTATATCAGAGGTTTGATGAAATTGATGATTTTATCTGACGGTAAACACAGTATCCGTAAAGTAATACATAAAAGTAAGTACAGGGGTAAAATCAGCAGCGGCATTATCATTCCTGCAGGGCTAGCATGGGTGGGGGACAATTTATCCCTGGGGAAAGGAGAAAATATTTATCCCCTTGCTTAGTTTTGTGGCGGGTGGAAGGAAAAGGGGAGATCTCCCGCCGGGCAAGGTGTTCTGCCCGGGGAGCGGCCAACGCTCCGATTGATAGTTCGGAGCTATTCTATATATGCTGCTTTTTAACTTCGGAACTTTGTGTTTTGCTTGTGGCGCGACAACAGCGCCGCCACAGTTTTATCCATTCTTCGAGCATGGGCACACCGGTGGATATAATATCCACAATAGATAAAATGGGAGATAGACTTAGACTTAGATAGATTTTTTGTATGGATATAAACTTAAACCCATGTCCAATGAACTAGGGTAAAATTGTCTCCTTCAAATGTCAAAATAGCATAATTTTTTATCTTTCATTTGGCTCCATGCTACGGACGGGGGATATATGTCTACTCGTTATGTCAAACGGGGATATGCTTGTCCCCGTTGCCATGTTTTGGCATAAAGACAAGATAATTTTATCTCTTGTCAGTCGATATAATCGGGGGATAAAATTTTTGTCCCCAGCCCATGCTAGCCGTGCTGCCATATATTATGCCATAGACATAAGAAGTATTTTGGAGTTTTCTTATAATGGCAACGATTGCAGGGATATGTCTATCTCCATTTTATCTACTGTGGGTAGAATAGAATAGAATAGAATAATTTTTATTCAATATTGATTAGAAGTTATTCTTATTGAAAGTCATTTTTTTACATTACCACTGGTTCGAATAAAACCTCTGTCCTGGGAAGAACCTGCAAGAAACCCAGCCGGACATTTTTTTAAATAAATTTTACAATATAAATGATTACAAACTATTTACAAAATTTATTTTAGAAACAGCTTGGACGCGACCACCTCATTCCCAGGGGTTATTATCAACCATGTATTAATTTATAATAACCCTTTTTGTACAGTTTTTGTTTAATTAAATATTTAAAGTTGGTTATAGAGAGACCTTGTATATTTTCTGGGACTTTGTTGTAGTTTCAACTTAACAAAACATTTAAACTTGGTAATAGAGAGAGCCTGTACACTCTCCGGGACCTCGTTGTAATAGCGTATACATTGCCCCAAGAATGAATTACTGACTCTGTGGAGTCGAGAGACTGGTATCAGTAGCTTGTGTTTGTTCCTAGTGTTTACAGAGTGTATATCACTTTTTTTTACTAAAACTATCTTTGTTTTTGTGAACATACTTTAAATTTTCGTAAATATACCGAAAGCCCAAAGTTAATATATTTATTTCTTTAAATTTTCCTCTAAGAGACTCTCTCGGTTTAAGGTTGTAAATAGCTCTTACGGCCTTCTTCTGCAACACAAAAATAGTTTCTAAATCAGCGGTATTTCCCCATAGCAAAATCCTATAAGATATTATGCTATGGAAATAACTGAAACAAACGAATCTAGCAGTCTCGACACTTGTGAGGTCTCTAATATTTTTTACAGCATAAGCTGCAGAGCTTAGTCTGCTTGCTAGTTTGGATATATGGGAGCCCCACTGAAGCTTCGCATCGAGAGTACCACAGTATCTATTATAGACGCAATAACTTTAACGGAAATCGCCCATAAGTCTGCCGTTTTCTTAACATCAATAGTTTAAAAATATATAACGATATCTTTTGGCAATACTCTATGGAATTTAAAAGTATTTGAACAACGCTTTACGTTTTGTTTAAGCAATGATTCGGCAACAGTAGGAGAATTTAATGATTTTGTTGTCAAAAAGGAACATCAGTAAAATAGTTCCCAAAATCCATAGCAACTTCTTGATCAGATTGATGTCAAATGATTACACTGCTCAATAGAAACAGTCTTGGTAGCCAAAACTTGGTTAAGTTAAAATGTAAATAATAAGATAGCATATTTGTTACATTTGCAAATTGTCTTAAATTATATTTGGATAGGTAATACCTATCTGTTTTCCAAAACTTCTTATTTACATTATTTATGTCAGTTAAATGAAATTTTTCATTATTATCACTACAATAGATAGCTCTGCTGGGGTATTTAAATTTGCTTTCTCCAACTCCGCTTTCCAGTGTGGTGCAACTTAAAAAAATTACGCTGATTGGCGCATTAATGCACTGAATTTCGTCTTTTGAAAAATAGTCGAAGACAGTCTTTTTAATTCATTTGTAGGAAATAAATAAAGTAGAACTAGAAAGAAAAGAAACTTAATAATTGTTAATTATTTCTGGAAATATAATTATTTCTCAGTCCAGACGGATTCAGGGGAGCATCGCGAGGAATACCGATTTACTCCATAATTTTATAAATACCTTTAAAATTAGAATTGTGCTAGTACTTTTGAATTTAATTTAGGTAATTTAATACCTTTCCGCTTGAATTTGGCTGACCCAGTCTTCATGCTGTTTCTTCATACTAGGAGCTTCACCTCCATACTCAATTGGCAAATATTTTTTGTCTATCCATTTGTATAGGCTCTCGCAGTCAGGTAAAATTTTGATCTGTAATTACAAAGACGTAGCTTTCATTTTTTTGTATAATGGCCACTATAATAGAAAATAAGATCGAGCAGTGCTGTCACGGTTACCTACGACGTTTATGCCAAAAGAAACTAGACTCTATATTATAATACTTTAATTTCTAGTATCGACCAGCTGTTCCGGGTCAATGGTTCAAATGGGCGTGCCACAGGGCTTAATTCTCGGCCCCTTTCTTTTTCTTGTATATATTAATGACATACCTTACATAGTAGGGGATAACCATGATATAGTATTATTTGCTGATGACACTTCTTTAATTTTCAAATTAAAAAGACAATTACTAAAACATGACGAAGTTAATAATGCTATATCTAAATTAGCAAATTAATTTAATGTTAATAATTTGCATTTAAATGGCACTAAAACGAAATGTATGAAATTCATGACTCCAAATGTCAAACGCTTAAATACTAATGTAATTTTAAATGGGAATGAACTGAGTCTTATCGAAACAATCATTTTTTTGTAATCCCATTAGATGTAAAGCTTTAATGGGCTCCCCATATATCAAACCTGCTTGCAAGGTTTAATTCTGCAGCATATGCTGGAAAAAAATTAGAAATCTTACCAGTGTTGAAACAGCTAGACTAGTTTACTTTAGCTATTTTCATGGCATAATGTCGTATTGTATTTTGCTATAGGGAAAACGCTACTGACACTGGAATTATATTTGTTTTACAGAAGAGGATCATAAGAGCAATCTATGATTTAAAATCTAAAGAGTCACTACGACAAAAATTTAAGAAAATTAATATGTTAACTTTGGCCTCACAACACATTTATGAAAATGTAATGTACGTACATAAAAATAAAAGTAGTTTTACAAAAATAAGTGTTATTCATTTTGTAAATATTACGAACAGACACAAGCTTTTCGTTTCACATAAACAATAGCACGAAAAATTGTAAGTACATTATAAATTAAAATTACAAAAAATACAGACATTGCATAATAAATAACCAAAAAAATAAACTAGAAAGTTACCTAATGAACAAAAACATTTACTACTATTTGCACTATCACATTAATAAAAACCAACGTCAGATTTTTAGTTACATGTCAATAGCATGGCAATATCATCTGCAGATAAATTCAACATATTATTCGTTACATAAAAGATGTCATTAATATAAAATTAAAATAAATGTGGACAAAGTACACTGCCCTGTGGCACGCCGTATCCTTTAATTAGGTACGGTGATTTATACTTCTCAAGTTCCTTATTATAATTTAACCTTGAAATTTCTACACTTTGTTTTCGATCTTTAAGATATAATTCTCTCCAATTTAATGCCGGTCCGCGAATGCCTAAGTTTGTTTAGTAGAAGTTTGTGTGAAACGGAAAGGTTTTACGAAGGCTTTTTATGAAAACAGTCATGGAATTTATTGCTTTAGAATCCAATTTGTGCATTTATTAATACATTAAATTTTGAGGTGAATCCTATTATGCGCTTGTACATTGCTTTTTCAAATATTTTGGAAAAAATAGGCACTAAATTTATGGGGCGATAATTACACATATGACCTTTATCATCTTCTTATGGAGCGGCTTTACTATAGATTTCTTTAAACTACTCGTATCTGAAAATTTGCCACTAGTAAAAGAAAGATTAATGAGGTACGTTAAAATGAAAAAGTCTAATGAAATATTAATTAAATGACGCAGCGATTTTAGTAGGATCTGTAATTAATTTATTATCAACCTATATACCATTTATAACTAAGTGTTTATTAATTTTATGACACCCCCGTTTAACAACTTTCCACGCAGCTTTACTTTTATTTTTGAAAACTTTACAAACTTATAGTTATTCATTTTTTCAGAAAGGCGAAAACATTTTAGAGAGCTTTGAGTGGGTATTACAAAGCTCCTTAAAATTTTTTTCAGAAAGGTGAAAACATTTTTAATGAGCTTTGTAATACACAAAGCTCCTTAAAAATTATGTATTTAATTTTGTTTTCATTAGAATTGTGATTGTAATATTGTAACTGTGTAATTTTCTTTTCGTTTTACAACTAACCTTTAAGCCTTTTGTCAACCACCTAGGTTTAGATAGTTTGTACAGAATTTTAATGCGCGTCTGTGGAAAGCACAATTCATACATTAGCAGGAATAGTTAATGAAATTTGTAAAATGCGATATTTATGTCATTTTCACTATATACATGTGACCAATTTATACTACACAAACCATTCGAATGAAGGTTTCTGACAGACAAACTACAACGGGGCGAATTTGGAAAAGAGTCTCCTTGAGCAGTTTTTGTTACTGTAAGTGCTAGCTATATTTTGATACATCAGTTTTAGTACATACTTACTCGTGTTGGGTACGAAAAAACGTTTGTGATTATTTTTAGATTTAGGTGGTAGTACTATAAAGTATGTTATTTTTTGCTGTTTTTTTGTTGGGGCTTTATGAATTATGCCAAACATAAATAGGTAATACGTACGATTTTTTTGTGTGTCAATATTATAACGGCACACTTCCCTGCGTATATTTCCTTTTATTGCTCTGGAACGTATTGCATAAAACTTAAAAACTTTAAATTATAATAATTTTGATTAATAATTTGATTAATTTTTTACATAAATCTTATCTGTTCGAAATTTCAGTATATTCGATAAAGTGGTAATTTTGGTATTGATTACATGTTATTTTTAGAATATTATTAAATCTCCATTCATTTAAGTACATATTTGTGCGAATTCCTAAAACTAATACAAGACACTCTTTATCTATTGTTTTCAGAAAGCTACTTAACTCTATCATTACTTTATAAGCGTTTTATTATGTTCTCCAACACTTAAAACAATACAGTCCTTTGATGTGACATTAAATAATTGGCACGTTCTCAAGATTTCTTCAGTGTCTCTTTTTGATTTGATAAATGACTCAATTTGATAATGTTCGTAAGATGTTTTCATTCTTGATGTTTTTAACAAATTTGCCAATCCTATACACTGGTGTACTCCAGTTATATGTAATGTTTTTTATAAACTACGGTATATAATTTCTACCATGTTTTATAGCTTGGTTGTATTTGGGTGAATGTTTCATTGCTTTGTTGCATTTCAGGGGAACTATTATTTTCGAAAATATTGGTAAGTTGTTGATTCTGCATATTGTTTTTGTTTTCTAATGATTATTTTAGCCCGGTTTCACGCTCTTTATCGAATGTTGTGTTTGATACACAATCAATGGTTTAATTTTATGTTAATCCTTGTAATATGTCATTTTCTTTTATTTGTTGACTGTTCTCTTTGAATGCTGTACTGGACTTTTGCATAGAGTTCTCAGTGTATTATTTTGTGTGCTGAACTTATTTATTTCTTTTTTTAACTGGCAATTTTCTGTAATTACGTTTTCTAACTCATTTTGTGTCTGTGCAATTGTGTCCGTCGTTTTCTAATGATTCACAAGATTTTGATGCAAATAATTTTCTAGCTCTTAAAGTAGTGCTTTCGTACTCCTCTTCCATCTATGGTGGATATCGAATACTAATATACATTATTAACAAAAGTCTTGATGCAAATTTGAGGTTTGTTAGTTATACTAAATTAGTCGCATTAGTTCCATTTGTCGGCACTATGGATAATATTATATATATATATTATAATCAAGCAAGTAGGCTTATATTACCACGCCCTCTGTTATAAAGGTCAGGAAATGAGACATTGATACTTCGTCTAACTTGTAAACTTTTTTGACATTTGATTAACACATTTTTTTTCTCAATATTTTTTTAGAATTGTAAATTGAATTTTACGAATTGTAGACAAAAGTTATAATAACAAATATGAAGCAGTCTACGGGATTTCAACGTACGAAATGCTACACGCTAAAGTTTTTCAACGTATAACTTGTGTATTACAGATCTGCGGTGTCGCTTGCGTAATACAGCAAAAATTACTATATTATTAAGGGCTATTGATTTGCATAACGTTTCAATAGTTCAAAGTCCAGATATTCATAAGCTTCATAAGACTAATATGATTCAAAAGACTTCACACTACCCTTGAAAATGAAAAATAAACTAACGTTATTTAAATTATGAAAAACAGAAAAGAAAAAAGATTTCCGTAAAGATCACTTTTTCAGGTTTATAATAATATACTTTGTTGTAAATAATATAATGTTCTTCTAGTATTAAAACCAATAGCCACATAACGTTGTCAGTAAAACTTGATATTTAAATACAGTTCACTTGTTCTCATACTGTTAGTATTTGGATAATTTGATAAAGTCCACTTTTCTGGGGTTCTCCTTATTACTAAGTTTAAAATTTTGTATTTAATGTTACTTTTAACACTTCAACGATTATTTTATAAAATGTTTTAATAAGGAAACTTTGATTATTACGGTTTCGCTATAGTTGCAAACAATGTCACTTTAACTTCTCAGTTTTCACTTCAATTTTATTTCAATTTCCGACGACTTATGTTCAATTTTTTATTTTTTAAACGATTTATTACAGACTGATATGAATTTCGCGCCTTATGTATACTAAAAACTTGTATTTCATATACTTTTATTCTGTTTCATAATGTAAATATAATTCATGAAACTAACAATGTCAGTGGTGTCGGCGGGGATCGAACCCGGCTTTTATATCTATTTTGTTTTTGTTTTATAATAACGTTACCTCCACACTAGGAATTTTTCCTAAATATATCATGGGGGCAGTTAACATAAGTACATACATTTTACAAGGACAAACATCCAGACCCGGAACAATTATTTGTAGCATATACAAATTTTTGTTACGTGCGGGATTCAAACTCGCGGCCCTCAGCGCTACAACTCATTGCTGAGCTACTTCGCCACGGAGCCGTCAAATATATCCTTCATAGTGATAAATATTATAATTATAAATTGCTTACTATTAAATAAACGTATAAAACTATTAATTATGTAAATAAATAATATAATTTAACTAAGAGAAGCATTCACGATTCGTTTACGCTAGTGTGGCCAGGTCTAGTGGGTCAAATTTCGGGACAGAAGGTAAAAATACTGGGAACTTTATTTTAAAATCGAGACAGTTACAATGGCTACAAAAGTAGCTTCTTTGTAGCCATTGTGGTGGCCATTAGTTATACTGGTATTTTTGACACAATGCGCAATGTGTTTTATAATTATTATTCGGGATTGATCAAATGAACGAATAATTTTGCGTCCAAACATCGAATAAACTGCACATTCGTCTCTGTGCATTTTTCTTTTTCTTTGTCTTTAACAAAAACTTATTGTTCTTGTTAAACAATAAGTTTTGTTGAAGACTTTGAACTTTCTGAATCACCAATCTTAATTCAATTCTGAAAATAGTAATAAATCTTATGAACTCACAACTCATACATTTTAAAAAAGCTCTCAAAAAAGACATCATCATAGTATTGTTTTTTAATTTTAATTTTTAATATTAAAATATTAAATCAATATATTTTCTTGATTTAGGCATTGTGTTGCACTACAAGACTATATATTCCGTTATAACAACGCTTAAAACAAAATATTATAGCTTTTGATAATGGTTGTATTCGACGGACTAAAACACTGTGTAGGGATTGTTTTCGCTCTATAAATTATGATCTTGATCCATAGTGCACTAAATAAAGCACTATAGATCAATATCATAGTTTTTAGAGCTAATAATCTGCTCACATCGTTACGATAGCGCCCTTGAAAAAAACCCTAAAACACGAAATTTTCGACGCGAAACATTTCTGCCCTCATAGCGCTACATTAATAGATATCATCAAGAGAAGCCAGAGCGGGTCGCTATTAATAAATTTTATTTATAATTTAACATACCTACGTGTGTATACAATTCTCTTCAAATATTTTCCCATTAATAGACAATTTCTAATTAACCGAATAATATAACGTTATAACGATATACCGTTATTAGGTTTTCGCTATTGGTACCACAGAACACTATTACTCCTAAATTGGTACTGTGCATGTTGACGGTACGGGCTGGATGAGCCGCCATTTCTAAGCCCGTTCTTTATCTGTACGGACTATATACATCTATAAAAATAAATAAAATTAAAGTGTCTGTTTGTAATGTCAAAATTACTGCTTTTTACTAAATGAATATGAAAGTATATACGGTACTAATAACAAAAATACAGTTTATAAAGTTTTTGTCTATCTGTCTGTCCGTCTGTCTGTCTGTTTGTTCCGGCTAATCTCCGAAACGGCTGAACCGATTTTGATGGAATTTTCACTGGCAGATAGCTGATGTCATAAGGAGTAACTTAGGCTACTTTTATCTTAGAAAAAGAACTAGAGTTCCGCGCAAAAAAATGAAAACTCCAAATAACACGCGGGCGAAGTCGCGGGGAACAGCTATTATGTACTAACAAAACAATAATCGTTAGATTATCGTATGAGTGGACACTTGTTATTACTCTGCCCAACAAGTACCGGGCTTTATTCATAATATATATATATTAATCTCACCATATTACAAATATCTGTAGGCAAAGCAGGTTTGACTAGTGCATATAGTTTATCATAAAAAGGGGGCGCATTTATTCCGTAAATTTGTTTGACACGTGCGGGCATTGCTTCCTGAAATTAAAGAGTAAATGGATTAAACAAAATAGAATAAATGTATTAAAAAGATACTCGTATAAGTACGTTACTATTAGCGGTATTGCTGATTAAAGCTTTTTTTCAATCAACGTGTAATCAATAAAATGCCCACGCATAAAGTAATAGGTACATTGTTTAACTCAAGGAATAACACATATTTAACTTGATTCCTAAGTGAAAATTCTGCAACTAGCATCGATATTTAGGTATGTGAGTGCTATGACCTATGATTAACAAGAAATGGGAACTAAATTCAACTTTAGAGTTTCTGGAATACATACTCGTAGTAGCTTTTTATTATTATTAACTTACATTTCATTGCCGTGAATACCCTCATTTCGGAGAGGGTTCACGGCAAGCAAATGCAAGCCGCGCTGCCCCAATTCGTACCCATTTGTTGGCGGATTTCAATATTTTTTTTAGATTCTCAAGATTTTTTTTCTCAGTCGAGCACATTTACCATAAAATAATATTTAACGAAAACAACAACGTAACAAACTATAGCACAAGAGCAACCTAAATTTGACCTCGCCAGGAACGCTAAAATTATTTGATTTACCTCAAAACAATTAGCGTCGAATGAATAAATTGTGATGTAGTTTTTGACGTGATAAAGTCACGCTGAAGCATGTATATGTATCTGCAGCACGAATAGGTCGGCTCGGCCGGGTAGATCCCGCTCTCACAGAATACCAGCGTGAAATAGCAAAATAATCTTACTGTATTTCATGTGGTGCATATAAAATACCGAAGACTATTTTTAATGGAAACGAGGCATTCCCTTTTTGTCCACAGGGGTGACATCGCGTCATTTTGTATAGGAGAGGGGGAAAACGGTCATGCGGCTCATCTGATGGTAAGTGACTATTGCCGCCCATGAACAACTGCAACACCATAGTAATTGCAGATGCGTTGCCGGCCTTTTAAAAAGGAGTAGGCTCTTTTCTTGAAGGTCCCTAAAACGTATCAGTCCGGAAAAATGGCTGGTGGTAATCGATTCCACAGGGAAGTTATGCGAGGAAGAAAACATCTTCTAAATCGCACAGTGGTAGACCGCCAATCATCCATATGGTATGGATGGTATCGCGAGATTTGTCGCGATGTGCTATGGTGATATTGAGCTCCAGCGCCAGCTCCTTCCACTTGAACGCATCTAGCGCAGAGCGGTTCGAATCGTCAATGACTGAGTTCTTTCCGATCGGCTTGACTCACTGGCACTGCGTAGGCACTGCCCAGAGATGGCAACAGTATTCCGTGTGAGGCCAAACCTAGGCCTTATAAAGTTGCAGGCGGTGTGCCGGCATGAAATTCTGTCCCGCTCTGCTGAGCACGCCAAGCTTTTTAGAGGCCAATTTGGCCTTCTCTTCCAAGTGACCACGAAAGTGCACGTCACTCGATATGTCGACGATGAGGATTCCAATACTTGCTGAGATAACAAGGGGAGTGCTTTGAAACTGAGGAGACACGACAAAGGGGTTCCTTTTAGCGGGAAACGCGCAAACTTTTGTCTTCTGGGGATTGAACTGGACTAGATTTAGTCGCTTCCAGTTCGAGACTTTGTTTAACAAAGTCTTAATTTCAGACACAAGTTTGTTCCGGTACTTGGCGACGTTTCCCAAGAAACATCGCGGGATGATCGGCGATATGTTCCCCCCTTCATCAAGAGTCGAGTTCGACGCAAAAATGGAGCCTAAAAGGTCTCCTTTCTCTTTTGCGGCGTGGGCCAGTGAGTTATTCTCTCTGTGCAGAGATGGTAGCGATGGCTTACAGAAATTCCCTTGGACAGCCTTGGCGAGAGACCAGAATGCATGGGTTCCCGAAAGAATGCGAACTAATTTCTTACCAATTCTGCCTATGTGCTCTGACTTTACCTTAGCAATAACACTTTTGAAGGACCTGGAGGCGAAGTTAGACTTCTTTTTAAACATGCTGGTGCTTACATGCCGAGCTGCCGAAGCCTCAGCCCAGGCCCGGTAACATTCCTGCTTATTGCGTATTGCAGTATTACAGGAGCGACCAAACCAAGGCTGAGATCTGCCACCGATGGGTACCACAGATAATGGAATAAATAGTTCCATTCCCTGTAGCACCACATCAGTGACAGAGTCAGCAGCAGCGCTGGGATCATCCGGCAAGAAGCAAACCCGCCCCCATGGGTAGGATGCAAAGAAAGACCGCATTCCATCCCAATACGCCGACCTGTAATGCCAAACACGGCGGTAACCTGCAAAAAGCAAACGGGAGAGCGTGAGTGGCACCACACTCCAGATCAGACAATGGTCCGAAGAGCCGAGAGGACGGCGACGAGAGACGACGGAAACCTGATATCCGTCCGGATGAGAGGTCAGCAGAAGGTCCAACAGGGAAGGTGTATGATCCTCCATATCTGGTATCCGTGTAGGCGAAGTAACCAGTTGTGTCTGACCATATGCCAAAGCAAAATCATAAAGAGACCTCCCCGCATGCCCGGTTAAACGTGAACCGAGCCATTCAGCGTGGTGTGCGTTAAAATCGCCAAATATCACGATCTCTACGGATGGGATCTGTATTTTGATTGTTAATCGATGATAGATGTATGTCTATGGGCCCTTGTATCCACTTAGCATCTGGTGAAATATGTGCTCGTTTGTCACCCATATTCTATATAAATAGTAAATAAGATTTTAAAAATAATTTTTCAGACTTTTGCATGCCTTAAGCGAAAGCGCAAGGTATGTTCTGCAATCGCCTAAAAATTAAGATTCCAACGTTTTATCGAATGAAATCGTATCTAGCAATCATATTATACATATAAATGATATAAAAAACACATTGTTAGAAAGATAAATGATTGTTAAACTTATTAATATATTTTATAAATCGATTAATTGCTATTTTTAAATAAAAAAGGGGTTTTAGTGGCTTATGGTGTGAATTTATCAAGTCCACAAGGTACACAATAACTTTTGAAAATATCAATTGTTTAAAAAAATGTCGAAATTTGTCTTGTATGTAAATTGTTTCTGTAAATAGGCGGAAGCTGCACTCTGAGCTACAGCCACAGAGTAGGAGTGGGTAATATCGTAATTTCTGAATATCATATCGAAACTATATATTGATATTTGATGTCGGATTTCGAAACACTATATTTTCTGAAACTATATATTGACGATATTATGCCGTATATGCAGTTATTTCGATACCGGTTTCGCGACGATTTTTGACAAAGTGGATACTGATTCGATACTTGGCTACGTACGTAGAGTAGACAGTCTTTCATACCTTTACCAGGCTTAGGACTGGCTGCAATATTTTCGGTTTTGAAAAAACCGAGTTTTATTGTTTTAATAATTAATTAGGTACGTATATATATACGACGTGTGAGACGGTATATATATATGTATATACCTAGTCAGGTCATAAATTCTGTCACATGTTTAATATAAAATAATTGAAACAAGTTTATTCATTATGTAACTATTTATATACCAAAATGAACTTAATAAAACATAGATTCTTATGACACTAAAGTTTATTCAAAATAATCTCCGTGATTTTGAATACAGGCCTTCAATCTGCGTGGCCAGTCGTCTATCGCAGCACGAACGAGATCCATGTCAATATCGGCGGCTGCCTTAATCAAGGATGTCTTGAGTGACTCCAAATTGGGATGAGGCTTTGAGCACGCCTTTTCCTCCAAGTGTTGCCATATCTTGTAATCTAACGGATTCAAATCTGGACTGGAGGAGAGCCAGTCTTCGTGCCGGATGAAGTCGATTTCACGCGCCGCCAGCCAGTCTTGTGTGCTCTTCGCTCTATGAGCTGGCGCCGAATCTTGTTGGAATACCCAGTGCCTGTTATTGAACAGTTTGTCAGGACTTTATTTAGTTTTTATACCTTTCTCACAAAAATGTACCTCTGTTAAGCCCCAATAAGAAACTCCCAACCATACTATGAGCGAGGATGGAAAATGACCTCGTTGGACACGCGGAGTACGGTTGCTCGCTTCTTCACTAATGTGTGCGTACACCTTATCATTTTGTTTGTTGTAGCTCTCTTCTACGGTAAAAATTTTTTCACCCGAAAAAAGAATTTCCCGATATTTTTTCCCGCGTACCGCTTCAACAAAGCGCGGTATCTCTTCAGTCTCAGGTCCATTAGACGAGCATTCATACGATGTCCTGTTTTTCTTCGATATGCCCGAAGCCCTAAGTCTTCATTTAACACCCTTTTCACCGTGGTTCTGCTTAACCCCATCTGAAGGGCCAACAGTTTCTGCTTACGTTTGGGATTTCTTTGAATTCGCGCCTTCACAGCTTTTATCACTGCTGGCGTCCTAACAGACCGAAGGCGACCATTTCTTGACCTGTCATCTACACTAGAGTCTTCATTGTATCGTTTGATGGTACGATAAACGAATGTTTTGATTATATTCAAATTTTTCAGTATGTCAAAAATTTGAATTGGCGCGTAACCGCAACGATGCAACGCAATACTGCAACACGGTCTTCTTTAAGCATCCACTCCACATTTAAAAATGAGTAAAATTCTAAAAAGTATACAGTTTTATTTTCACGAACAATTCGAAATTCGAATTCAATAAACTTTTTTGTGGCCAGCATTCTAAAAGAAAAATTTTTACTGTGTGACAATACTTATGACCTGACTAGGTATATATATATATATATATATATATATATATATATATATATATATCCCGTCTCATTATAATAATGCAGGCGTATTTATCAGTCTAAAACGTACTTACTGCAATATAATACAAAATAGGTACTTATACATCATCATCATCATCATCATCATCATAGCCTTTCATAAGTCCCCTGCTGAACATAGGCCTCCCCCAAGGAATGCCACAAAGCAGGGTCCTGAGCCACCTGCATCCATCGACTTCCTGCATGTCTTACCAGGTCCTCACTCCATCTCGTGGGGGGTCGCCCTACACTTCGCCTACCGTTACGAGGCTGCCACTCAAGAACCTTTCTTCCCCATCGGTTGTCGGTTCTTCGAGCTATATGGCCGGCCCACTGCCACTTCAGCTTACTAATCCGTTGGGCTATATCGGTTACTCTGGTTCTATTGCGGATATCCTCATTTCTTAGTTTATCACGCAGAGAAACCCCAAGCATAGCCCTCTCCATATCTCGCTGAGCGACCTTGAGCTTCCTCATACGGCCAGCAGTGAAGGACCACGTCTCAGATCCGTAAGTCATCACTGGCACCACGCACTTGTTGTACAATTTCGTTTTAAGGTTTTGAGGTATGTCTGACGAGAAGATGTGTCGTAGTTTCCCGAATGCTGCCCAGCCGAGTTGAATCCGTCGATTGACCTCTCGATCGAAGTTAGACTTACCTAGTCGGTTACTATTTGTTCCAGGTAAACATACTCGTCAACAACTTCGAGCTTAGTGCTCCCAACAACTACCGGCATAGGTGTGATATGGACATTAAACATGATCTTTGTATTGTCCATGTTCATCCTAAGACCTATTCATTGAGAGACACTATTGAGGTCATTGAGCATGTTGCTTAGGTCCTCCAGCGATTCTGCCATAAGGACTATATCGTCGGCAAATCGAAGGTGAGTGATGTACTCGCCATTGATGTTAATACCGTAACCTTTCCAGTCCAGAAGCTTGAAAACGTCTTCCAATGCAGCGGTGAAGAGTTTCGGGGATATAACATCACCCTGTCGTACACCTCTCTGCAATTGGATAGGTTTCGTACTCTGGTTCTGTACTCGGATAGCCATCGTAGCCCTACTGTACAAGCACTTCAGCACTTCGATATACCGACAGTCAACTTGGCACCGCGGGACTGCAGCACCGCCCAAATTTCGATGGAATCAAAGGTTTTCTCATAGTCCACATACGCCAGACATAGTGGCAAATTGTACTCCTCGGACTTCTGTACAATTTGCCGAAGGGTGTGTATGTGGTCTATGGTGCTAAAGCCCTTTCGGAAACCGGCTTGTTCGGGAGGCTGGAAGTTGTCAAGTCTGCGCGCGAGACGATTCGTAATGACTCTCGAAAACAGCACGTAGACGCGGCTCAGAAGGAAATCGGTCTGTAGTTCTTCAAGAGAGCGTTGTCACCTTTCTTGAAGAACAAGACCACCGCACTTCTGCTCCACGCCTCCGGTGTAATGCCACCATGGAGGACGGAATTAAAGATCTTCTGAAGGACTTCAAGTACCAGTTTTCCACCCGCTTTCAGAAGATCCGCTGTAATTCCATCCTCGCCTGGGGCCTTGCCGTTTTTAAGGTGCAGGAGAGTCATTCTAATCTCGCTCAGACTGACGTCCGGGATATCTTCGGAATAGTGTCGGACTAGACTCGCTCTTGGATCGTTACTCACACTTGCGTGTGGCTCCAACGATGTTGTGTACAGCTGCCCATAGAACCTCTCAATGTCACTCAAAATCTCAGGTGCCCCGGAAACGATGCTGCCACACTCGGTCTTCAGCTTTGACAGTAGGCTCTTTCTACTTAGGTACTTATACACAAATTATTTTTTACACTTATAATGTGAGTCACAATATTAAATTGTTTTATACCGAAATAACACAAATAAACTTTAAAGCAAAATCAAATTATTAATTTCAAAATTAGCAAAACTAACTAGGAACAACAAATAAATGCGCTCAGTCGATTATTTTACCTACGTTAAACTAAAAATAGAATTTTTCAAAAATACTAAAATATACGCTCCTAATTTTTTTGCTCCTTAGTTCAAGGCCAAATTTTAACAAGTGCTACAACATACAAGTGCATTGCGATCATTAGTGCCCTTAGAAGTTGAAATTTTATAAAACAGTCGCGCCAAAATACTAAGAGAAACCTTCAAACAGATGTTGTACAATATTTAAGTTAAGGTTTAGAATCGTATGTATTGTGTAGTTATTTCAGTTTTATCAATCGCGCACTCTCTCTCTACTTTGGTATAATATCTAACGTGGAACTTCGGCGGCGATCGAGTCTGTTCGGTATTCATTCGTCATATTATACGGTATAATATACGGTTTGACCGATTTCGATACCACTGCGATACAATATAGTCGCAAATCGCGATCGGCTGTCGGGCACAAGCAATATAGTGTTTCGTCCGATATATAGTTTTTGTTCAGGCCGATAAACGATATTGAATCAATATATAGATTCAATAACTATATACGTTTTGTATCGCCGACTCCTACCACAGAGTACTTTACTCACTCACTCAGTTCGGCGTCAGTCGCCGTCGTGAGTGGACATTGTTTCGGTTGTTTGTAGCGGCTCAAAAAGATCGCTGTATATATACACAATATTCGAATAACCAAATTTCTTAAATACTTGATTATAATAATAATGAGAGAATTTTTTTATTACAATATTTTAAAAGCACAGAGTAAATAATAGTAGTCGTACTAAAAATAAGTGGTATCAATTTTTTTGTCATGGGTGACATTTTCATGGTTTTCGAGGTTGTTGAAACCGATAGGGTTGTCGAAATGTAAATCCAAGATGGCGGCCGCAATAGGTATCAATTTTTTCATCATGCTTGTCATTTTCATGGTTTTCGAGGGTGTTGAAGCCGATAGTGGTGTCGAAATGTAAATCCAAGATGGCGGCTGAAGTTGGTATCAATTTTTCCATCATGGGTGTCATTTTCATGGTTTTCGAGGGTGTTGAAGTCGATAGTGCTGTCGAAATGTAAATCCAAGATGGCGGCTGAAGTAGGTATCAATTTTTTCATCATGTTGTCATTTTCATGGTTTTCGAGGGTGTTGAAGCCGATAGTGGTGTCGAAATGTAAATCCTAGATGGCGGCTGAAGTAGGTATCAATTTTTCTATCATGGGTGTCATTTTCATGGTTTTCGAGGGTGTTGAAGCCGATAGTGCTGTCGAAATGTATTTAAACTACTTTAAAATTCCGTATAATCATGGTATACGTAATTCTTTTAATGCGCTTAAGGCATGCCCAATTGGATTTACCAATTTTTTATTTATACAATGTGGAGCAAAGTTACAAGTCGTATTAATTGCGAATCATCTTTATATCCACGGTTATATGTGCCTTATATTATGCGCTATATACATTCCACTGTTCAGCAAAAACTCCTTTAAATTCTGAGTGAGTAATTAAGCAGTTACTCTACCGCGCTGTTCCAGATGCAGCGGTGAACTTGTGCTTCATGATAATAAAGCTGAAATACACGTTTATAATTTCTTATGTTGTTGTGACATTGCATAAATTTATTATTCCGTTATTTTTCGGATACCTACCGAAAATTTTAGTGATCGATTTTAACGATAATACGAATAAGATGTTTTTTTAGACAGGCGTTGAACGTACGCGTAAATTGTTAATATACTAGCAGTTTTTCGTTCTAATCTACCAACTTGCGAAAACCTCAGGATTTGCAGTCTATTTGCGTTCTGATTAACACAGTCAGCTTTAGTTTAACTTTTTAATTCTATACCAGCTGGTACCCGGCGCGAAATATCGTTTTAAATTTGGAAGAGTTATTTTCTTTACATATTACGTGTTGAAGTTGAGTGATGTATAACTTTCAAACGGTACGATACGCGCGCCACCTATTGTTAGTTGTAATATGTCTATAACCTTCTCATAACCATTTTGCACGTGGTAGAGCCAAGCTGCAGCTATATTTATAATATAGTTGTAGCACGAATGGTATTCATTCCATCTTAGTCCTCAAGGCTGACAACGCATCTGCATTTTGATTCGCAAACGAGGATAGATGTAGATGTCTATGGGCCACAGCAACCAATTAACATTATGTGGACTGTGTGCTCGTTTGTTACCAGTATCCTATAAAAAAGTGCAAACAATAAGTTGACAAAGTTTTAGCACGATCTGATGAACGGTATCGCAGCGCATAAAATACTACCAAACAAAAATTAACTTTTATATATTAGATAACAGGATATAACAACGAATCGGTTAAAATATTTATTTGTACGATTTGTCGACCACCACGGTTACCGTGTAGGGGCGGTGTAAATATATCGCCCCACATCTACCCGTGGGTGGCGTAAGCGGCGACAGAGGGAAACAAATCAGGAGATGGGCAACAGCGTCTTTCTAATAACGACTAAAACTAAAAAACCGCCACTGATAACCTGCTTGCCAAGCGTGGCAACTATGGCAAATATCCCCCTATGAGGCAATCTATGGGGGAGGCCCATGTTCAGCAGTGGACTTTAATAGGCTGTAACGGTAATGCTCGACCGCCAAATGATGCGACGACCACTGAAAAGTTGTGGTCACAGCTATACTGACCACTGCTGTGTATCTGTGGCTACATTGTAAAAAATTATAATGCGATAAAATGGACTAGAATAATTTCATCATCAAATATTATTACAGCATGTAACAATAATTCTTATTACTGTTGAAGATATGTCTCTCACTCTCTTCTTTTTAAGTCTTTTTAAGTACACCTCAAACTTCCTCCTATAGATTACAATAATGCATGACCTTAAACAACTTATTAGTGGACGTCACTCTATTTTGTGGAGGTGTCTCCATACTATTTCCTAGATATTCACTTGAAAACCTTTCTTCTCCCATGATTTCTAATGCTACTAAAGCCTTATTGCTACTTCTGGATCAGCAGGGTGATGCCAATTGATCAGTAATGCTATAACATGATATATGTTCTTACCAAAAGATATACGAGAAATTCTCTTAAAAAGAAAACGTTGATCTTGGGAATTATACGCAACGAGTAATTCTTCATATCTATGATTATAATATGACCCTCAGGTAGAAATTTTTGAGTCTTGATCCGTATATCAATGTGAAGCGTTAAACTTTTCAAAACATCGTAGAATTGATATCTTTCGAGAGTCGGGTCTTCATGTTGGAGGATTGCGATTTCATAATCGCCTGCTTCGTAAGTTGCTATGTTTCTGAGGAAGAAAATTAATATTATTAAACAAGAAACAAAACTTAACGATAATTTTGATATTAGTTTTTTTATTTTAAATCGCTGCGTAGTGGCTGAAGATACGTAGTCTCATCTGATATCGAAGGTCATCAGAAGTTACTTAGGGAAATGCGCAAGCTTCATAACGAGATTTTTACAAACAATTTTTTTTTTCAGTTGTTTATTAAACTGTCTGTTTATTAAACGTGGTAGAGCCATGCTGCAGCTATACTACTGGTATAGTTGTAGCATGTATGGGACGGCTCGACCGGGGAAGGACCACGCTTTCACACAATACCACCGTAAAATAGCAGCTTAATATTGCTATTTTATTTATTTATATAGCTAAATATTGTACGGTGAGTGTAGAGAACCGGAGACTCTTTTTATTGGAAACAAGGCATTCCATCTTAGTCCTTACGGGTGACAACGCATCTGAATTTTGATTCGTAATCGAGGATAAATGTCTATGGGCCACACTAAACACTTACCATCAGGTGGACTGTGTGCTCGTTTGTCACCCTTATCCTATAAAAAAAATTTTATAATAAGCTTAACATAAGTAAGTGGGAATCAGCCTTTTTGCCATTGTTGCCACGCTTGGCGGGAGCTACCGGCTTTAAAAACTGCAGTCATTTTTACCTGGTATAGGTTGTTGTATAATCGTCCAGCAGAACTACCAACATAAGAGATAGCGACAAATAGCTAATGATAAGACTGCAACTAAATTGTAGTTAAGTACTACGACGAAGCAATGTAAGTGAAATATTAAATGATATCTTCCATATATGGAATGTAGTCCTCCATATATGGTATGTATGTTCATGAAATGTATAAATAATATCTAATTACTACAGTAATATTTATAGAAGAAGACCTCATTCACGTGTCTCCATCTGGAAACACGTGAGACGAACCCTAACTATGTACCTACATCATAAATACTATATACATTTGACTCCTTCAATTCAATAAAAAGATAGAGTTGTTAAACTTTTAAACTTGAGTTTAATTTCTTGCTTTGCTCCCCACATCGCTATAAGAAACATATCCATAGCATATTCTTTATATTATCTATATATTTTTTTTCAAAACGTTACCCCCACACTAGGATTTTCTCCTGTGTCGTGGAGGCAGTTTACAAACATAAATTGCACTAGGACAAACATCCACATTTTTTATATTATCTATATTTTTTATTTTGTATCACGTAAAAGTACAAAACAAAATAGTATTGATTACTTAATGAAAATTAAAATATGACCATAAACATAGCATTATAGTAGCTGTATTATAATTATTATTATTGGTTCTTTATGACTATTCAAATAAGAGTCAATAAGAGTAATTAAAACTATTCGAACATAATGTTATATCACATTTGACACAATAGGTTTTTACTCTTGTCACTTTTTTATCGTATGGATAAGCTCCTTGTATGGGCAAGGATCGATTATATCGACCTCATACCTACTAAAACCCTATGATATTCAATCGTCGTTGCATATCAGCAAGACACTTTTGCACACTTCCCGCAGACAGCTGTATCGGCATTAGCTGATCACTGCCCTATTCGAAAGAGAGCAATTATTCCCCTTTTTTTGCTAGCAAGGCATGCCTTCGTCTCCTATTTCGTCTCGAAAATTAAAAAGGACTTATGATTTTTATACGTGATATGCAATATGTGAACTCATAAACAAAAACACTATATGTATCAGAAAATAATCCGAAGCCACAAGTATGCCGCAAATAAAGACAATGGAATTCATGCAAGCATTTGAGTAAATTTAAAGCGAATCTATGAGCCGGTCGTTTTATGACTATAAATTAGAAGTGATAGAGTAACTGAGGCTGATTGTTATCAGAAACCTGCACATTGGCCCGTAGATATGTGTCATTCATTCATTTCTAGTGACCCGATCATTGAAGTATTGATTCGTCTTAAGTACTGGGTCATTCGGGTCGATCACTCAAATGGATCAATTCGAGTTTCAACACTGTGATCTGTGAGACCCGCTCAATAAAGTCGGTGGTCGGACATTACTATCCTCATTGGTCGTAGTTCCTGTCAATCGTTTGATCTGGAATGTTCAAAACACGTTGCGTCCCGGGTCAAATTAACGAATCATTCACGATTGACACATGTCTATTGTCCCGCTAGGACTCCGTAACGTGGAGTTTATAGGGATCAGGAAAATGGTAATTTGAAGCCTGATCTTATTAGGCTTTCTTTTAATTACTGTCGTAGTTCATATCTTGGTAGGTGAGAGAGCCTCAGCTAAACTCACACTGGTGAATCAAATATTTGCAACATTCTATATTTATTAGTAATAAACAAGAATAATTACGCAATGGAGAATGCAGTCTTGATGTTTTCTGATAGGGGGTCTCTCGATGTGTACACCTCTGACATAACACTGCGCGTGGTGCAGAACTTTTCTATGCATTCCTTCGTGCGTTCCAGGCTGCCATAGCAGCTATGAAGGAATTTCTCCAGTACAAAATCATCTAGAAAAAAAGAAAATCATGTATCGTAATGTAATGCAGAAAAATTATATGTTAACTGGTGACCAGGTCGGGCAGGGTGTCGCCTGAGTATGATCTATTCATGTGGCGTTATTTAGATTAAGGATAATCAAAGACTTTTTATTTAAAAATTATTTTTTAATAATAACTCTTCATGTTCATCATCATCATTACAGCCTTTCACAAGTTCACTGCTGAACACAGGCCTCCCCCAAGGAATCCCACAAAGCACGGTCCTGAGCCACCTGCATCCATCGACTTCATGCATGTCTTACCAGGTCGTCACTGCATCTAATGGGAGGACGACCTACACTTCGTCCGCCGGTACGAGGCCGCCACTCGAGAACCTTTTCTCCCCATCGGTTATCGATTCTTCGAGCTATATGGCCGGCCCATTGCCATTTCAAGTCACTAATCCGTTGGCTATGTCGTTCACTCTGGTTCTACTGCGGATGTCCATATTTCTAAGTTTATCACACGTGTATAGTTGAGACAAAGTAGTATAAGTTTTAGACACGTGGTAGAGCCATACTGCAGCTATATTAGTGATATAGATGTAGCACGAATGGATCGGCTCGACCGGGGATGGACCACGCTCTCACAGAATACCAGCGTAAAATAGCAGCTTAACGCTGCTATGTTTCTTATGGTGAGTGTAGAGAACCGGAGACCCATTTTACTGGAAAAGAGACATTCCATTCTAGTCCTCACGGGTGACGACGCAGCTGCATTTTGATTCTATATTGAGGATAAATGTAGATGTCTATGGGTTACAGCAACCACTTACCATCAGGTGGACTGTGTGCTCGTTTGTCACCCTATCCTATAAAAAAAATCACGCAGAGAAACTCCGAGCATAACCCTCTCCATAGCTCGCTGAGCGACCTTGAGCTTCCTCATCCGGCCAGTAGTGAAGGACCACGTCTCAGTTCCATAGGTCATCACTGGCAACACGCACTGGCTGTACAGTCTCGTTTTCAAGTTTTGAGGTATACCTGAGGAAAAGATGTGATGTAATTTTTCCGAACGCTCCCCAGCCGAGTTGAATACGTCGATTGACTTCTGGGTCGAAGTTGGACTTAACTAGTCGGAGTATTTGTCCCGGGTAAACATACTCGTCAACAACTTCGAGGTTAGTGCTCCCAACTACCACCGGCACATGTGTGAAATGGACGTTATACATGATCTTTGTTTTGTCCATGTTCATCTTAAGACCTATCCGTTGGAAGGCACTATTGATATAATTGAGCATGTTGCTTAGGTTCTCCAGCGATTCTGCGATAAGGACTTTATCGTTGTGAGTTATATATTCGTCATTGATGTTTAATACCGTATCCTTTCCAGTCCAGAAGCTTGAAAACGACTTTCAACGCAGCGATTAAGAGTTTCGGGGACATAACATCACCCTGTCTTATAGCTCTCTGCAGTTGGATAGGCTTAGTACTCTAGTTATGTACTCGGATAGCCATCGTAACCCTCCTGTACAAATACTTCAGCACTTCGATATAACGACATTCAACTTGGCACCGGTGAACCGGACTGCAGCATCACCCAAATTTCCACCCGCTTTCAGAAGTTAGGCTGTAATTCTATCCTTGACTGGGACCTTGCCTTTTTTAAGGTGCTGCAGAGCTATCTCGCTCAGATTGACATCCGGAATATCATCGAAATAGTGTCGGATAAGACTTGCTTTTGAATCGTTATTCACACTTGCGTGTGGCTCCAACGATGATGTGTATAGCTGGCCATAGAATCTCTCAATCTTACTTAAAATCTTAGGTATCCCGGAAACGACGCTGCCACACTCGGTCTTCAGCTTCGACAGTTGGCTCTTTCTGGCAGACATATTCCTTGGCAAAGACTTTGGAGTCCTGATGCCACTCGATCTCTTCTTCAATACGAGCAGTATTAAAGTTGCGTAAGTCCCGCCGCATGCATTTGGAGATCTGTCTGTTCAGTTGCCTGTATGCTGTCAAATCTATTGAAGACTGCAGCTTCATTTCCCTTCTATCTATCATTGCATTTTTAACAGCTATGAGACTAAGAGTGTGATCGGAGAGTTTTTGTTTTCTTCTGCAGCGGGTTTTGCAAACTTAGTTCCGACCGCATGGACAGTTTTCACGAGCTTGTCATTCATTTCGTCCACTGCATTACAATCTTCTAGGCACTGAAAACGGTTTCGCGACTTTGGAATAAAGCACGACGGGGACGGAGCGTTGACTTCGTTAGATTACACCTCTCCAACTTAACGTTCAGGTTCAGTGTGCCTCTCACCATTCGGTGATCGCTGTCTGTTTTCACCCTCGCGATCACTGAGAAATCACTGAATAGTTGTCGTCTGGTCATCATAATGAAGTCAATCTCATTATTTGTCGAACCGTCGGAGCCCGAACAGGTCCACTTCCTGTGGGGCCGCTTCTGTAAGAAAGAGTTCATCATAAAGAGTCTCTCTTTCTCCATGAATTCGGCCAGCTGCTAGCCCCTTGGGTTCCGTAGCCCTATTCCAAATTTCCCTACCTTCAGCTTACCGTTCTCTTTTGTGCCTAGTTTTACGTTGAAGTCTCCCATTAACACCGTATAGTAGGTTTTGGAGGAATGCATGGCTCTAGATATATCCTCATACATTTCCTCCAGCTCCTCATCAGGATGTGTCGAGGTTGGTGCGTAAACCTGTATGATCTTTAGCGAATACCGTTTGATGAGGTACGCAACCCTCGTTAACACACTCTCAATCTTTACAACGTTGAGGAAATACTTGTGAACGATAAAGAAGGGAGGTTACAGTAAAGGTTGAAATCTTGCAGTGGTATGCTTGGATTTGAATTTAATTTTATTAATTGTAGGATCCCAGGGTGGCAGCATCCATCCATCTTCTCTATTGAAATTAGGATGTTTTAATTGCATTAATCTCGCGTATCATCCTTGGTGGGAATCGGTGTTCTTTTGCGGGAATGTATGGTCTAGCAAATCGGATGTAATTGCGGGGACGGTTGTGAACATGTTCATAGACTACAGACTTTTCCGAAGCTTCGGTGCTTCACGTTAGCTATATGTTCTCTCTCGCGGATTTTTATAGATCGTATTTAATGTGTAGTATTCACGTAAATATAAAAAAATAAAAAGAAATTATAATAGTTACTAAAATATATAGAATAATTATAAATTAAATATTTTAGATTATACCGACACCTCGTAGGGATAGATGGTCGCCTTCTCGGTGATAGAACAAGTTGCCGGAATCGAGGATTAGCATGTCCTCCTCCTCTCTTCGGACCTCAAATAATCCTATAATATTCCAGCGCAACTTGCCTATCTCTTCTTCCAGCTTAGATGGCAACCGAACCTTCACCGGAGATTCTTAGTATCCCCTGTCCCGCCGTTACCATGGTCGCCACCGTGGTCAAGAATAGCAGGGCCGCCGGTGACTGGCGGCTGTCTCTTCGTCACTTTAATCGGGGGGAATTGCCATAGTTGCCACGCTTGACGAGCGGGTTGGCAACCGCAGTTTTTATTGTTGCTTTCCTGTTATCAGAAAGATGCTGCTGCCCGTCTTCTACCTCAGTTTCTCTTTGTCGCCCATGGGAATATATGAGGTAGTGAGTATTCTTATCCGCTACAAATGGAACAATCTCCATGTTATTCGGATAAAATATACTTACTTTAGATTACTCCTGGTATAGCTCTCTTTCTGTTCGTGAAGGTTCATTACAATCGGTTAAGCTTTTTAGAACGTTAGCACGGAATATATATTATTACTATTATATGTTAATAGAAATGTTTTGACTTTAAATGACGCAACAGAAGTACTTAAGTTTAAATATTTTCCTGGGTAATGATAAAATAATAAAGGCTTAAATAATAAAGACGTACATGAATACATATACGTCTTTATTATTTAAGCCATTAATGCTATTGTTGCTATATAATTCTTTTCTTTATTAAAAACTTATATGCTATATAAGTTTTTAATAAAGAAAAGAATCTTATCTCATAGAAGAGGACGAGTCTACAGAAGACCCGGAGAAAGATTCGCACAGTGCTGCATCAAATAAAATGTGGCTTTTGGAGGAGGTGCTTGGATGGTGTGGGTGGGCATTTCAATGGATGCAAAAACCGAGTTGGTTTTTATTGAAACTCTCAAGTGAGAGGATTGACGGCGAACCGATACATCGAAGAGATTTTAGGGGATCACGTTGTTCCCAACGCCGATTTCATCGGCGAAAACTTCATTTTAATGCACGACAATGCCCGTCCACACACTGCAGGTTCCGTCATACAGTATTTACAATAGGTCTAAATTGCTGCTATGGACTGGCCAGCGCGTAGCCCCGACTTAAATCCAATCGAGCATTTGTGCGATGAACTTAAAAGAAAAGTTCGGGCTAGAAATCCTGCACCAGCTAAGAAATCGGACCTCAAAGCGGCGCTTATTGAAGAATGGGATAGCATCGAACAAGATCGGGTAAAGAAACTTATTCGATCCATGAAGAAGCGATTGGAAGCTGTTATTAGGGCCAGGGGGGAGCACTAACTATTGATAAGTTAATATCAATTAAATCAATATTTTGACGAAATTAAGCTAGAATTTTGGTTACTGTTAATTATCTTGTTTCATTGTTTATGACTCCTTTTCATTTAATATTTTTTCCTTATCAAAACTAAATTTAAAAAACCAACGAAGACCACTCATTTTAGGCTAAAAATAGCTGCTTTGAGATGTCAAAATCAGAAAAAGAATGAAAGCTTCAGATTTTTTCTATAGACTTTTAACCGCGAGCGTGCGTCCTGAGCCGAGTTTTTTGCTCACGAGTGTATATACCGACTTATAGTTTGCATACATACAACATGTAACAAAAACCCTGTGGTTTCCGTTAAGTATGTTATCAGGATATTCAAACCTATATAAATAAGTTTTTTTAAACTCGACCATATTTTTTTTATTTAAAAAAAATAATTTTATGTGGTTTTATTACCTTTTACTG